TAAACCCGCTAAAAAATTACGGGGATTATACGGGTTCGGGTCTATACCCGACCCATTGACAGGCCTACCGGTACCTCATTGCCTAATACATTCTATTGTGGACCTAATGTCCACCATACTTCAATATATGAGCAAAATAAGTACTCCCTCCGTTCAACAAAACACTTCCATTTTAATTTTTTATGCACCCTATAAAATACTTCTATCCCACCTAAAAGGTCTAAAATACCTCTAAAACAACTTCTACCTGCAATAAACTACATAGTGGGGTATATTTTAGATATTTTAGGTGAGAGTAAAAGCGTTCAATGAGGTGCGCAAAAATTTAGGGCAGAAGGGTTTTAAGGAACGGAGGGAGTATTATTTTACTACTTAAATAAGCATTTTTTTAAAATAAAAAATTAACTTTTTTATGTGAGAAGGTCCACAAAATTAATATGCACCCAAATCTACGAAATACTCTCTCTATCCTAAAAATTTGGTTCCGGTTACTATTTTGATCTCCTGATAACTTTTGTTTATGTGTATTGTTTTCATTAATTATTTGATAAAATAAAATACTGTTGTCATAACTTGATATGTATAACATTTCATATAATTTTAAAATATGTAATTTCTTTTTTATTCCTATACTAATTTCAGAATATAAAATAATTTTAAATACATATAATTTAACACGTTATTCAAAATTAGAGAATTATTTTCGAACGGAAGCATATGATTCAATTGGTGGGACAATGTCACAAAACATGAAAACAAACAAGTATTGGGTTGCCATGTTGACAAAGTAGAGAATCTCCAGTATTTCTTGGTTTGCCAAACGCGCCATCGCGGCAATCAGGCCCCATCAACTCCTCAACGGTTGGGAATGTTACGATTATGAAATGCTCCTTCTCAAAAGTATGATCTCAGTTGCTAATTGCTATCCTAGTCTTTTGATAGTTTTTTGTCTCTATATTTTTATTAATTATTTAATAAAATAACTATTTTTGTCACTTTTGTCTAAAAATATTTAATACAGTTTTTAAATATGTTATGGATAATCCAACGCGAGAGGATCAACAAACGGCCGGGAACACAAAAGGCGTAACGCGTAGAAGTACGCGTAAGAGGCGTGCCCTGGGTTGGCAGAAGAAGTTCAAGATGCATTATACTTTTGATTAAATTATTGTTCTCTAGTTTTTTATTAGGTGAACGAATTATAAGCTCTTTCGAAGTTTCTTTACGATTCTTTACCTCGTCCTTTTTCTTGAACTGTCAAAATAGAAAACCTAGTTTTTTCAAAATTTGGAACTCTACTTAAATAGAGGTGTAACCTTACAATTAATCAAGAAAAAAAGAAACCCTAACAATACTCCCTTCTCGTCTTGTGCGCGGTATTGCCACCGCGCATCTTCTCCCCCCTAACTTTCCTTCTTTCTCGAGCTTGAAGACGCTTGAGTCTTCGGTATCCGGTACGTGGTCGTATCAAAATATGTAATTGTACTCAATATTTTTACTATCAATGTATAAATAAAATAATTTAAAAAAATTAATTTTGTACATTATTTGAAGTAAAACGATATTTTTTTAGATCAAGGGGATACACCTTTAATTAAAATTATGTTTCAGTGACATCAAAGTTTAACACAATTTGTTTTATAGAGATCTAGAGACAATTATTATTTAGACTACGAAGTTACAAATATTCATTGTCTATACATCAATGAATACATGATTTTAGACTATTGTTAAAATATACTCATCATCCGTCATGTTTTCGAACAACGTGCATAATCTTATTTTTTCTAAAATTATTTTATTTATAAATTGATACAATAAAAAGTACTCCCTCCGTCCCCCATAGATCTTCTCAATTGTCCTTTTTCTTTGTCCACAATAGATCTTCTCATTTCATTTTTTAACAATTAAAATATCACAATTACCCCCACTTACTTTATTTATTACACCTCACTCACCTCATTTAATACACTCCACCCATTTTAATTAAGGGTATTAGGGTAAACTTTCACCTTTTTTCAACTCTCCTTAAAAACCACCAAAAGTCAAAATGAGAACATCTTAGGGGGGCGGAGGGAGTATAAATTACAATTTCCAAATTATATAAAGAATTATAGAAAAACAAGATGTGTCAGAAACATTTTATCTTATCAACCGATTAATGAAAACATGCAAATAAACGTAAATTATAGAGACAAGGTATTAACAATTGGTAACAAAAAATGGACGGAGTAAGTGAGTTTTTTTTTTCTCTATAAAATATCGCATTCTCACTGCGAAAAGTATGTATTTACACTTATGATAAATGGTTTAAATTAAAAAAATTTGAGAGATGAAAATATTTTTTTTAAAAATGAGAATGTAATTTAACTTGTGAGTATTAACGGCAAGAAGTTCAAGTGGGCCAGGCAATATGATGCACAAGTTGATGGAAATGGGGACCAAAAAGGCCAAGTGGACCGGGCATTGGACGTTCCATACACACTCTTGGCGATGGGAAAATATCTTTGTTATTTCGGGACAAAATGCATGATACCATGGTGCATGTGAATGCGGTCCTCTCTTTTTTTTTATTTACGGGGTGGGGTACATCTTTTGTCATTGGAAGAAGCATCAAGCACGTGAATTGGGTAGGTAGGGTGGTGACCTGTTTGGCAGCACACCAATTATATTTCTCTTTCGCCCTAGCCTTTTTTAGTTTCTTTTTTAAACACTCACAAACAATGATGAGGAGGTAATTAATGACCCCAACCAAGTTCGAATCTACCTAACTTCCGTTCAAGCTCGGTAGCCTAGTTCGATTCGGGTCCTAATCTCGCGAGTTTTGGAAAATATATCTCGGCTCGAGTTTGAATGCTCAAATGAAGAGTTCGGCCCGGCTCGTCATAAAGCTCGGTCGGAAAGTTGATTCAGGCTCGGCTCCAAGTTAAATTAGTGTAGGGAATTTAAAAGTAACTACGAGAATAATATTGTACAAAATAATAAGAGAAAATATATAAAAAAATTTAAAAAAAGTTTTTGAAGGTGTCTTTAGTGCTAGAAGTTTAGCATTTCTATTAAAAATTTTAAAAATTGAAAAAAGTACGAACCTCTCGAACCGACCCTTGGTATGTTCAAAAAAACTCGTTAAAAATACTAAGGTAGTGTTTGGATAGGGGAATTAATTTCAATTTTTGAATTTCAATTCTATAATTTGAAATTCTATAATTCAAATTCCATTTTGGTGTTTGGCAAACACAAGAAATTCAAAATTTATAATTTCAAATCCAAATGCTGTTTGGGAAATTCATAATTTCAATTCTAGAATTCAAATTCTGATCTTGTTTGGAAAGTACTAGATTTTCATTTCAAATCTTTAATGAATAAAATATTGTAAACATAATCTCAAATAACATAATGACCAATTGTTTCATAAACAAAATACATACTAATGTATGACAATTAGAAAAAGTATTAATTTGTAGTAAATATTTAATATTGCGTAGTTGTTCATAACTCGATCACTCTTCCAAGCACAACAAGATCCAAGCTTTTTTCAATACAGTTTGTCAAACTTTAATCATTTTGAGATAGTGCATTTTCAAAGGATTTCGATGCATTTTGACATGACACATTTTCTAACCATATTGGTGCACATAATTTTGATGCAATCCTGACCCTTAGATCTCACAATCTAAAGCACCAGATTCATTCTCATTTCTTTCATAAGATTGCATTCTCAGCAGAATATATATATATATATATATGTATGTATATATATATATATATATATATATATATATATATATATATATATATATATATATATTGGTTCTGGTGAGAATGAATCTGGTGCTTTAGATTGTTAGATCTAAGGGTCAGGATTGCATCAAAATTAGATGCACCAAAATAGTTTTAAAATGTATTACGTCGAAATGCACCAAAATCCTTTGAAAATGCACTATCTCAAAATCTGAGCGCACGATGCAATCTGAGCCGCACGATGCATCAGATCCAACGGCTAGATTTTATTCTCATTTCTCTCTACAAGGTGCATTCTCACAGGAACCAGCCCCTATATATATATATTGGTTCTGGTGAGAATGCAATCTTAGGAGAGAAATGAGAATGAAGTCTGATGTTTGAAAAAAAGTCTAACTTTTGAAAAAAATGAAGTCTGAAGGAGTATCTGAATATATACTCCGTAATTAACTTGCTCAAGTTCTAATACTCCCACAATTCTAATATGTTATAAGGTCAAAGTGTCTAACTGTTTGAAAAAAAGTCTAACTTTTGAAAAAAATGAAGTTTGAAGGAGTATCTGAATATATACTCCGTAATTAACTTGCTCAAGTTCTAATACTCCCACAATTCTAATATGTTTACTCAAAAGGCATTATCCATTCTGGGTATACAATTGTGGGTGCAATTACATAAATACAATTGCGCCCACAATTCTAATATGTTTACTCAAAAGGCATTATCCATTCTGGGTTTAATTAATTTCATGTAAAATCCTTTTCAAGTCTTATGAATTTCAGATATAATTAATTTTGAATCTTATCAGTTTTGGAGCTAATCACTTTTAGATCTGATGGTGTAAATTACCTTCCGATCAAACTATACTAGACTGGGTCTAAAGTGATTTGCTGAGTTTAAATACTGAAAAGACTCAGGGGGGAGGAAACATACATAGTCTAATTATTATTAAGTATGAGAAGAGTACAGGGAGATATTACACAATACACTTTTAGAGAGGAGGTGGAGGAGGAGGCCCATGACATAAAGTTCCAATGTCATTGGAATCCTCCCAAAACACAAAGACAGTAGCAAATAGACAAATTTGAGACCGCATTAGATGTTGTTTAAAGCTATTCGATTATAATGTGTCTCAAGGTACTAGTCCAATATGACTTACGTCAAACTAGATAAATTTTAATCATCAATTACACTACAGGTAGTTTCAAGGTACTAGTCTAATTTTTATTTAATTAAGAATTAAATAGTTTAATATTTCTTTAATTAGAGCCCAAAGTTTAATTGGATAAAACAAAACTGAACGAATACACTGCAACGGTAGTATATAATTTGGGGCGAGTTTGCATCCGAATTCAAGCTTCAGGTTAAAAAAACAAGGATTCAAGCGTTGATCCAAGAAAGAAAGATGAACAAAAGGGCTAAAAAGTAAAATCTCTTTAAAGACCGAGTTGAAACGCTGCTCTCTTATTTCAATTTCAATAGGCCATCAATCAAACATATAAAACACATTTTCTTTTACCAAGTCAAACAGCTAATATTAGTCAAAGCCGCTAAATAATGGCAGAACAGCCATTTACCAAACGAGCCCTTGATCTAGGAAGCGCAAAGGTCTTCCCCTTTTTCTTGTATAACAAAGCACATCTTTTCATAGCAATGGAAAATGGCTACAACTCAATTCTCCATTTCAGCCTTGCAGGGATTATCTGTGCAGTGACACACAGGTCTGCCGGCACCTTCCCATCCGTTAAAGCCGTGCTCTAAAACCATGATGGTTTTTTTCATTCCACTCTCCTCTGCATTTTCAGCAAGATGATTCGCCAAAATACGTGCACATCTTGGGCCCCGAACCTACAAACGGATAAGACAATATTTATTATAGAAAAAGCATTGTTGTGAGCTCACGTATTCCTATCCTAAAAAGGAAAGGAGAGAAATGTAAAGTTTTTTTTTTGGATGAGAGAAAAAAGACAGTGTAAACGTAATTGTGGGACGGAGAAAGTAGTAATATTCTAAAAAGGCTAATACCATCTTATTTTTCCACTTTGGAAAAGAGGCTAGAATCATGAAAAAAACTAGGGTAGAAAGATAGGTTAAAAAGCCAAGCTCATCACATGACAGGCTGTTTGGGATGAAGCTACAACAGGAATTGATTAATCTGGTTTTGCAAGCAAGAAAATGTGCAGCAAGAAGAGAGCAATGGGAGATGGCAGTTCACTGACCCACTAGCCTTAACCCAAAAGAACCTAAACTAGATGTACTTAAAGTTCAATCTGTGAACATATGTTCAGAGACTGTTTCTTACATTGAAAGATAAGTAGAATAACCCTTTTTATAGTTACCTCCAAGCAATGATCTGAGCAATGAAGTAAGCATAAATGACTTAAACAATAAGGTAAACATTCATGACCTAAGGTAGTGTTTGGGAATTAGTATTTCATTTCAATTATTGTATTTCAATTCCATAATTTGAATTCTTGAATTTCAAATGACAAGGGGAGATATATGGACTTGCAATTGAGCTTTGTAATGAATTAGAAGAAATTGCCTCAAATCCAAATCCAAAATTTTAAGAATAGCCAAATATAGAATTTGAGCCAAATCGAGATTTGAAATTCAAATTCCAGTTCCCAAACATGTGGTAAGTGATTATATAGTTATTAACACTCCTCTCAAGCTCGAGCATATAAATCTTTTTCCACCAAATTTGTTACAAATATAGTTCATGCTAGGACATCTAAGAGACTTTGTACACATAAAACTTGTGAGAATTTGTCCAAATATGACCTTTTCTCAAATAAAGTGGCAACCCACCTCAATGCATTTAGTCCTTGTGTGGTACATTGGATTTGATGTGATATGCACTGCTGCTTGATTATCACACATAAACTGTACTAGTTTTTTTGTTTCTATGTTTTAAATCTCCGACAAAATCAAAATGACATATTAAACTTTCTATAAAGTTTAGAGCAGTGAACGCATGGACGCGTGAAGGGCCTAACACATCTGTTTTTTTGCAGGGGTAAGGTTGGACATATCTTAACCCTACAGAACCCCAACGGAAAATGAACTTTACAGGGTTTAATGTTGTTGATGTTGAAGTAGGCATTTCTACCATTATACCATTCGACTAGGAACCATTGCATGGTCTTCTAATTGAGCATTTGATCTCGCAACGACACGTTTCTTGCTTTCGAACAGGACACATTACAATTAATAAAGATGCAATATGAAGACGTGGAGCATCTATGAATTGGAGAACCGTCTGATTTAGCATCACATTATTATCTCACGGTAATGTAATGGCTTCTATCTTCATAAAGTAATCCTTATCCTAGTGATTTCTTGACAATACTTAGAATTTGACCAGCAAGATCCCTATGACCACACGTTTATCAAGAAATTGGCTAAACAGAATTTCAGCATAAAAAAATATTTGTCCTTGCGATGGTAAATGAATTCCATTTCCTAACTATCCATCTATGTTTCTTCCTAGTGGCTCCATCGTCCAGGAAGATGTTTGACATTTGGATCCATATGAACTAAGCAATGAAGTCAGCACAAATGACCCAAGTGTTAAGGTGAGTTATTCAAGAAACAATACTTTTCACACAATTGGAGGACCAGAGTGGTTTGGTTAAGATAGAGAAGGCTAAGTTTCAATTAAACAACGTAACACACGAATCTACTATCATCACCATGGGAAAAGAAGACAAGTTCACTAAAAAAGTATTCCTTCGGTCCCTAAACTATTTTCACACGTTCCTTTTTCCTCTATCCCAAAACTAAATCTCATATCCTTATAATGAAAGCATTATGTGATTCATATTGTTTCTACTTCCTCTTGATGAACGTCACCACACAGTTTAAATTTTTATAGTCTTCGTGTCCGTGTCACAAAGGGATTTTATTCACGGATGTGGATATAACTTCGATTGAGCAAGAAACTGAAGCAACCACACAACAATGGTGGGAAGAAAGGAGCTTGCTCACTAAACTTTATAAGCCTTATTATGCTCCATTAGATGAGTTTTGGGGTCAAATAAGAGCAAATAGCAGCTTTAAGTCTCATTGCTTAGAAGTAATTCACCAGGAGTGAGTGGGTGAATCAATTAGACCTAATCTTACCCCAAAAGCCCTTTTCATTGGTTAGTTCAATTTGCTCTGACTTCACATCAATAGTTACTGCAACTCAGACATCACCCTTAATCATAGATGATCTTGATAAGCACAGCCGCACTCATACTCAAGCCAAAAAAAATGAAAAAAGAAAGTGATGTATATTAAAAAGAGGTCAACTGATAGTCAAATTTGATAAGGTTTGGGCTGATCTTGAAATGTGTTTAAATGCAACTGTGAAATATCAAAGTGTGTTATACTTAAGTGAGGAGATATTTTTTTTAAATGGTCCAGAATGTAAAATATAAGAAATAAGATAGATAATACATTTCATTTTGTTTTAACCACAAAATGCAGCAAGCTTTATAGGAAGAAGTTCAACATCATTTGTTGAGTTTTTGGACTCAACATACATAACTCTTTACTGCAGGGACCCTTTGACATGGATCTAGAATGCTATTTGGCTCAATGAAAGTGCAAAACAGTGATTCACTTTGATCTATGCTCTTACGTCTTTCTCTGGTCAACAACTGGTGAAATGAAGCTTGCCCGATCCAAAACATGGAACTTAGACTACAGGAAAAAGAAGTGACAAACTGTCTCAAACCCTTACCCTATAACTCTAGCTTCTGAAAAGACAATACAACAACAACCCAGTTGGATCCCACTACAGTAGGGTCTGGGGAGGGTCTGTGTACGCAGACCTTGCCCCTACTCGGAAGCAGGGAGGTTGTTTCCAAGAGACCCCCGGCTCAACCTGCACAAAAAAATGATAGGGTACACAGTATAGCATGGGTAAAACACCAAGTACAATGAAAAGAAAGTTCTACAAACATTAATAGAAGATTCCAATCAAACACAACACACTACAAAAAAACCTCTGTAGCCTTGAGTTCCTAACCAGCTACTCTAATCCTAGTTCTCCAAAGGTTCCTATCTAAAGCCATATCCTCAGTCAGGGTGAGAAGTCCTGAATCATGTCTAAACACCTCCTTCCAATTCTTCTTAGGTCTACCCCTTCCCCTACTTCCCCCGATAACCGTAATCCGCTCACATCTCCGTACAGGGGCGTCAGCATCCCGCCGTCTCACATGACCAAACCATCTCAACCTCGCTTCCCGCAATTTATCTTCCACCGGCGCCATGCCTACCTGACGTCGGATAACTTCGTTCGAAATCCTATCCAACCTTGTCTTCCCACACATCCATCGTAACATCCGCATCTCCGCCGCATGCAGACGACGCACATGAGTCTTCTTAACCGCCCAACACTCT